TTTTTTTTTAGACTTTTACATAGACTCATAGAAACCACCTTGGACTATCTGTTTTTTTGCGATGTAAACGAGTTGAGCAATGTCTGAAATAAATCGATTTTTTTGAACAGTGATTCGAATTACACCGAATGACTACATATGTTAAAGTAAAGAAATTCAAAAACGTGATGCATGTGGTTGAAATAACAACAATAGCGACAGTAAAAAAGCATTGATTTGAGCTGCTACTACTACTACTATTCAGAGCAACAGTAACGAGTGTGCGCGCGCGCACAGTGACATGTTTTTTTACAGTTTGGTTGTCACGGGCTTCCTTCAATGAGACGTCGGTGGTGTTTGGTGCTCAAGCAATCTAAGAAGTGTGGCCGTTGCAACTCTTCAAGCGCAAGGGAAAGAAAAGAAAACGAAAAAGAAAGTCTCATGTAAAAGAAGAAGAAGAGAATAAAAAAAAAATTTGAGAGAAATGGAAAAAAAGGTAGAGATCGATGATGCTTGATTCTCTCTGACATCGATTTTGTTGAAGAGAAATTTTAGTTACTACCGAACGTTTTCTCCGTTTAACTATCACACACACACACACATACTCATTAGAAAGTTTTCATTTTTCACGTGGAATAAATGAAATAATACTAAAACAAAAAAAAAAGTAAAATTTACGTTATGGCAAATTTACGACGGCCAAGTACATCATGTCAAATGTACAGACCATCATTAACTGATGATGATGATAATCAAGTTAATAATAATGGAAAAAATTCATTATCAAGAAGTTATACGTTCGATGGTATACAATCATTAAAGCAGCAACCACGAGTGACAAAACCTTCCCAAGTTTCGCCACCGGTTGCTGATCAACAACAACAACAACGTTTAGGTCGAAGTTTACTGAGTAATGATAATTGGCGACAAGAAACAATGACTGATGTTCGTCTTAATTCTAAAGTTATAGATCAAAGTGATCAAAATATTCTCTTTGGAAAAGGTTAGAAATAGATAACAAAAAAAAAAAAAGAAAAACGAAATATTAAAAAAAAATCAATCGAATTGATATTCTGTTTTTTTTTTAATTTAAGGTATCGATCCTTTACCACATGTACGTGAAATGCTTAATGAATTAAGTAATGCCGAAGCATTTCTTTATGCACGTCAATGTCGTGTTGTTGTTGCTAAATTACGTTTATGTTGGACTGATGTTAATGAAGAAATTAAATCATTATTAAAACATAAAGAATATACTGAAGCAGCTATTGAACATATTCGTAAAGATTTAATTATAAATAAAGAAAGTTTTAATATACGAAAAAAACCTAAACGAGAAGCGGTATGTCTTATGTGTGTTTTTTTGTCTACTAATACATTGATAATTATTGTTTCGAAGTTTTTTTTTTTTTTTTTTTTTATTTACATAGGAACCCGATGGTGTTGATGATATACTTGCAGCTGAAAAATATCATTTAACTAATATAAAAAAAATTTTAGAACTTACTTGCAAAAATGTTGTTGATCATATGCAGGTTTAATAAATTTCCTTTCATTTTTTTTCTTGTATTTTTTATTAAAAGAGAAAAATTTTTTAGAAACTTGATGAAGTTCGTCAACGTGTAACAAAAATTGGTAAAGAACGTTCATTAGTTACAGAACTTATATGTCAATGTTTAACAAGTGCATCGAGAACATTCGAATTAGCACGAATTGAAAAGTATATATATATATATATATATATATATTATTAATATAATTGAATATTTTATTTTTAATATATTATTTATCTAGATTAGACAATGTACAACATCGTCGACCACCAATAACAGCACCACCTCGACCATCATCTGCATTTGGTTTTCGATCATTCCGTTCGACTAATAATAATTTAAGAACTGGTTCATCAAATTCAAATTCCTATAATACTAGTAATAAAGCTGAATCAACATTATTAGATGAAAATGGTTTACCTCTTATTGGTCATTTACTTGCTTTTACACCTGATGTTATTCAAGTATTTCAAGATGCAGCTAAATTAATTGAAGAATCACGTGAAATAAAAAAACAAACAATTAATCAAATAAAAGATGCATTTAATGATGCTAAAGCTTATTCATTAACTGTTAATCAAAGTATTGCTCAAAAACTTGCGGATATTATTACATTAGCTGTATGAATTATGAAAATTCATATTAATTGATAATTATAATTGGTTTTTTTTTTTGTTATTTTTATCTTTATAGCAACATTTAACAATATCACTTGGTGAAAATATGCTTGCTCAAAATCGAGCATATCGTTGGTATGATTTAACAATGAGTGCACAACGATCAAATGCAGGTCCACTTGGTTCATCATATTTAAAAACATCTGAACGTCTTGATCGACCTATTATTCGAACATTTCAACGACATCCAGGAAATCAAGTACCTGAAGCTCAAATGAATGCTAAAGTATAGGAAAATATTCTTTGTTTTGAATTAAAAAAATTTCGATTTAATTTTTTTTTTTTTCTAGGCAACAAGAAATCTTCAACAATCAGCTAATGAAACAGATAAACAAATGAAAACATTAAAAATTGTTGGACAACGATTACAAACAAATTTAATTGATAAAGAAATTGCATTGAATATTGATTCATATCTTCTTCGTCGCCGACGTGAACGATCTGATCATAAATGGGGTGTTACAAAATATGTACACGTTTAATACGTTTTTTTTTGAAACCGTGTACAGCCTATATTTTTTTTTGCTTTCTTATAATTTTTCTTTTTCTATTGAATTTTTCCACCATTTTATTATTAAGATTATTAAAATGAATTTAGCTTTTTTTTTCTCTTCGCCATTGCTGCCGTTTGTCTTTCGAGAAATGGATTATTATTATTATTATTATTATTATTATTATTATTACTGATTGACAATATTTCTTTCTTTTTTTTTTCTTTTCTTTTTAACATAAAATATATAAGTGAAACAAAACTAATAATAAAATAATTTATATAAATTAAATTAAATCACCCAAAAAACACGTCGTTCTTTTTTTTTTTTCTTTCTTTGTTTTCACTTGAAATTTAATTTTCAGTTTGAAGTAATGATGGATGACCACTATCTTCAATTAATTGTGAATGTACAGCCATTAAACCTTTAAAATATCGTACTGTTTTAACTTTTAATTCCATTGTTGCATCTTCATCACAAACACATAAAAATCTTTGATGATTTTGAAATGCTGATACTGTCCACATATGATTAACACCTTCTTCAATAGCCATATGAAGTGCATAGGCTTTTGCTGTACCCGATATTAATATCATTACCTAGATAAAATACAAGATAAAGAAGAAAAATAAAATAAAAATTCATCTTTTTTTCTTCTAATAATGATCAAATATGTTGTCATAGAAATTGTTGACTATAAAAAACATTAATACCTTTTAAGTGTCATCCATTAGTAATATTTTTTTTTTCAAGCTAGTCGTTAAGTAACATTTCATTCGCTTATATGAATTATTTTGTTTCAATTAATCGATTAACACGCAATGGTCAAGTTACATTTGAAATGTTATTTTTAGAAAGAAAATTAAAATTTGTACTTATTTTCATTCAAATGAAATAAAAATATATGATGATGATTACACATTTCGAAAGAAGAAATGAACATATATGAATTATTATTATTATTATTTTTTTTTGTCAAGTATGACTTACTTCTCGTGAATCCATAACTGTTCCAACACCAACAGTTAATGCTGATTTCGGTACTTGATTTACATCATTATTAAAAAAACGTGCATTAGCACTAATTGTATCTTGTGCAAGTGTTTTTACTCGAGTTCGAGATATTAAACTTGATCCTAAATATTAAAAAAACAAATAAATTAAAATTTTTATTTTAATAATAAAAAAAAAACAAAATGTATACCTGGTTCATTGAAAGCAATATGTCCATCAGGTCCAATACCACCAACAAATAATTCAATACCACCAGCATCTTTAATAGCTCGTTCATATTCATCACATTCTTTTATAAGATCTGGTGCATTTCCATTAAGTATATGAACATTTTTTGGATCAATATCAATATATTTAAAAAAATTATTCCACATAAATGAATGATAACCTTCAGGATGATCCTTTATAAAAAAAATAGAAAATATTTATAGATCAAAAAAAATTTTTTTTTTTATCTCACTCTTGGTAATCCAACATATTCATCCATATTAAAAGTAATTACATATTTAAATGATAATTGTTTAGCATTAACAAATTCAATTAATTTTCTATAAGTACCTAAAGGTGTACTACCTATAGAAATATTAATAACAATAAATTATTAATAACCAGCAAGAAAAAAAAAGAAAACAAAACTTGCCAGTTGGTAAACCGAGTACAAAATATCGATTAGGACCTGGTTTAAAATCATTTATTCTCTTTTTAATATACCGAGCACCCCACTCGGACATTTCTGAATAATCTTTTGTAATTACTAATCGCATCTAAAATGAAAAACAAAAAATTATCCCTACTGATTGTTCGTTGTTTTTTTCTTATTGATTTTATTAGTGAGAAAAAACAAAATCACACGATTATTTCGATGTGAAAAAAATGCACGATATATAATATGATAAAAGAATAGTAATCTAAAGAATGTTAACAAGGTCTGATATATATATATATATATATATATATGAGTGTTTTTTTTTATTTCTTTTCAGTTGACAATATTATAAAAACTAGATAAATAATAATCATATTGTCTGTTGTTTTGTTTGAAAAGAAAAATATTTAATAAAGATAGACTTATTTTTCTATTGATTTTATGGATTAATCTTTTATTTCAAAACCTTTTTCGAATGATAAAAAAAAAACAACAACACCAATTTATATGGTGATAATGGTTTTATGACCTTCAATTGAAGGTCAATTAATAGAATAGAAAAGTATAAAAGAATTGTAACCATGACTTTTAATTATAAAACTCTATTTGTCAAAACATGATCGATCAGCTGGCTGTATGTCATTTCATAAATAATCATCGACTTGAGCGACATCAATAGTTTGTTTTTGACTAAATAAATCAATAGCAAATCAAAAGCATTGAAGATATGTTTTATGATTCACAATAGTCAAACATGTACGTTTTTACATACATTCGAAATAAAGAAAAATAAATTGATAAATTAAAATTCTCAGATTAAAAAAAAATCATTTAATAATTTAAAGATGAAAAAATTATCAAAAAAAATAGATATTAAAAAAAAAATAAACATTTTGATTTATTTATTTAATATAGGCAACAAGAAGAAGAATATCATTCATAAAAGAATTTCATGTATAAGAAATAATTGACTGACCTTAATTCAATTTAATGAAGATTTACAAATATTAGAAAATAATAAAAATCAACTTAATAATAATTCAAAGATTGGACTTTTGTTTTAACTTCTGAATCAATCATTCTGCAATTTACTCATTATATAGACTTTGCTACTTCTATTTTTGCTTGATATTTCTTGCTGAGATCTTAGCACAAAGTATTTATTTAATCTGTTAATAAGACAATTTATATTTCGAAACAAATACTTTTGATCGATTTTATTTATTTATTGACAGTTGTATAAGCTGCAAGACTAAAATTGTTCTATAATATAATATAAACCAGTCTAGACATTACTCTTAATTCTATACAATTAATATTTTATCCAGCATAGAGATCGATCAAGCGACTCTTCTTTAAAGATTGAGTTGGTCTTTATGGAGTTCGTAGCTATTATGCCATATACTAAATGTTTGTCCTTTTGGAAGGGTGTGGGTCCCTCACCCACACCACACCCTTAGTGATAATTTACATAATCAATTAGATGATGAAAATTTAATGTGCTATATTAATCAAACGACCGAATCAACACAATTTTAATTTTAATTTATTTTTTCACTTTAAATGTTCGTGTTTGTGATTGTCTTCATCCCTCCAATTGTTTTTTATTTATTCTATTTAATAATTAATTTCAATCTTTCTTTTCTTTTGTACATGTAAATATCAAATCAGAAAACTAAATAAATAAATAAATTCAAAATTCTTTTTTTTGTTTTCCAAATTTTTCTTTTTTTTTTTATTTAATAAATATTTATTTATTAAGATTCTAATAAACATGATAAAATAAAATAACAAAAACAAATATTAGCTTGCTGATTTGTTTTTTTTTTGTTGACAATATGAAGATAAAAATAGATATATATATATATATATATTTCATCAGTCGATCAGTACATTTTTGGTCACGTTTCATTTTAATAATATGTGAAAAAAAACAATAATAAGAATTGTCAATTAAACTTTTATATTTTTTATTTGAGATGATTATAAACATTGATTTGTAAATATGAAGTCAAACATACTTTAGTAAAAATTTAATGTTCTAACACATATATGATGATATTTTGAATTATTCATTTAAATAATAAAATACTTGAAGAAATGATTTGTATTTATATCATGTTTCTTTTTTCCTTCGGAATTAAAATGAGATAATTTTGTTTGAAAAGAATATTTAATAAACTAAATTCTCATATCAATAGATGTGTTATATGAGAAAGTTGCTCCAGACTAACTTTTTTTCGGCGATGATAAAATTTAACGTTGTATGGTACTTAAGTGTTTCAAATTATGCTCAGCCTTTTGTCTAGCGGACACTTTTGTCCAAAATGTTCGGAAGTAGATTTTATAGAAAACTATGATTTTGGGACCAATGCTCGCAGAAGTTTTTTTTATTTTAACAGTCTATAATGATAGAGCAACCAATTCTCTACAAAATGAGATATTCTCCCAATTTTCTACGACGTTCTTTGACCGACTTATATCAATTTTAGTGAAGGACAACAGCCATTTTTCTTCTATTTTCTCTGGGAAAAACGAAAAAATGGCTTTTGCTCTTCACTAAAATTGATATAACTCGGTCAAAGAATGTCGTAGAAAATTTGGAGAATATCTCATTTTGTAGAGAATTGGTTACTCTACCATTATAGACTGTTAAAATGCAAAAAAACTTCTGCGAGCATTGGTTTCAAAACCATGGTTTTCTATAAAACTTATTTCCAAGCGTTTTGAACAAAAGTGTCCGCTAGACAAAAGGCTGAGCATAATTTGAAACCCGTAAGTAGCAGATAGTGTTAAAATCGGATGTATCGTTATCGAGTTAGATTTCTCATGTAACATGCCTATTGTAGTTAATGACGATATTTCTTAGTTTGATCGCAAGTCACACAATCTAATCGATCTAAATCATTTGTATTCATTAAGTTGAATACTCTAATCAATATCAATAGTTAACTAATTTTGACTTGAGGACCGATTACATATTGAAATAATCTGAGTGTGGAATATTCATCATATAGTTTATTTAAATATTTTTTTTTTTTGATCAAAATTTTTTCATTCTAATTTGTGAAAATTGATTATTAAGTTCATTTTATTTCTTAAAATATAAATCAAAATAAAGAAAATTGAAATGTTATGAAACAATTCAGTCTTTTATGTCTGATTAGTCTTTCCACGACATTTGTAGATACTTAATCTTCCACCAAAACACGATCCACCATTTTGATAACCATGTTTCTTGCATTTATTTCTACAATTATCTATACCAAAAACATAATTGCTAATAATATCTTTATCATTTGGTTGTTCAATTGGTGTAACATTGGTCCAAGTTTCTGCTGAACTATTATCTTCACAAATACAATCACCTTTAGTATTTGCAATGTTCATCATCAGCATATTTTTCTAATATACAATAAATGATCTCTATCGAGAAATTCGAGATTAATACGTTTAATTCGTTCAGATTCACGTGATAATTGTCCATTTGTTATACCAATAAATAGAAAAGTCAAAATAAAAAGTAGAGAAATGATATTTGAAATTTTAAAAAAAGACCTCTCGACATTCTGAGATATTTATATGTTCGATAAAAACCAACAAACACAATCCTATTCAAATAAAATAATCGGAAATATTAGTTTTTCATAATCTTTTTCAAAATTTGCATATTAAAAATCTGAATAATTCGGTGAAAAATCATCTTTGATTAACTTATAACTATATTGTTTCTCGTTAATTTATTGTATTAAAAATAAATGAAAATGTATATTACGATACACACACACGTTCATCTAAACTTTTTTTGTTGACTACAATAATTCAGTGTTTAAATTTAAAAAAAAAGTTTTTATTTTTTTCCTCCTTTTAATGCAATATTTTCATCACGAATCTTTTTATATTCTCTAATTAATGTTTCCAAATTAGTTGTCATATTTTTTTGTGATTCAACTTCAATCTAAAATAAACAAAAAATTATTTAATAAGAAAGGTTAAAATCTAAATTTTTTTTTACTTGATCTTCTAATTCTCGAATTTCTCGTATAATAACAGCAATATCTTCAACAATTCGATAAATAATATCACAATCCGAATGAAATGCAACTAACATTTAATATGAACGTCGAGTACATTCATCAGTTTTAGCATCCTATAATAAAATTTCTTTTCATTTGTTTTTTTTTTTTTATGATAAAATATATTTTACTTTAAATAATTGACTATCAGTAACATGAAATGTTCGATCAAGTTTTTCCGTAAGTCGATTTAAATCTTTTTGTAAAACATGTGTTTCAATAATTATTTTATTTAATTCTTCTTTTTGTTTATTTGTATTTTTAACAATTTCAGGTATTTGTTTAGTAAAAAATGTTCTTGAATGATCATTTTTTGATATTGTTGATTTATGTTTTTCATAATCATTTTGTAAACATATTAATGATTCATCTTTATCTTTTAAATCATTTAATAATAAATGTCCTTTTCATTTCATATCATTGATTTGTGTTAATTTATCATTAAATTTGATTAAACGATCATTAACAGCTTGTAAAAGATTATCACATTATTCAATAAGATTTGTACGAACATCAGACCATTGATTTTCAACTGTTATTAATTTATTTTTTATTTTATCGATTGTATTCTTTAAAGAAAAAGAAACAATTGTAACATCATATTATAAGACAGAACTTTTGGATTGTCCTAATTATGAACGAATTAGAATTGGGCAAGCACAGACTTTGTACATAATGAAGTATGTACGTGATCGTTGATATGCAACTAATATCGGTACCAAAATATAAACAAGATGATTATTTTTTGAATAACTCGAAAACGGTAAAAGATATCGACCTGCGGTTTTCAGCGATGGAAAGAGGAGAACTTAGGCTATTTTTTTGCTATCAAGCACAATTTCTAAAAACTTGTAGATACCAGCTTTTTTAAAGGTTTTCTGAAAGATCAGAACTTTGCTAAAAAGTTTCGGATAGAAATCTATCGGTTTTTTTTTCATAGATAGATAACTTCGAGGGTTTTCTACAACTTCAGATTGAAATAAAAAGTTATTTTTGCTTTCTAATCTGCTTGCAGACGGTTTTACAGAAATCTCAGATTTTAGTAAATGAATCTCTGATCACTGAAATATATCTGCAGAGAAGGTATTTCGCTATGAAACGGAAACTAAACGTCGCCACTCAATTTAACATAACGAATTACCTCCTTTAGAGATATTTCAGTGATCAGAAGTCAACTGACTCGAATACGAGATCTCTAGAAAACCGTTTGTAAGCAACTCAGGAAGCAAAAATAACTTTGTATTTCAGTCTGAAGTTGTAGAGAATCCTTGGGATTATCGATCTATGAAAAAAAACGATAGATATACATCCAAAATTTTTTAGCAAAGTTCTGATTTTTTCAGAAACCCCTTCAAAAAGCTGGTATCTAAAAATGTTTAGAAATTGAATTTGCTAGTAAAAATATAGCCTAGGATCTTCTCTTTCCATCGCTGAAAACCACAAGTCGATATCTTTTGCCGTTTTCGAGCTATTCAAAAAACAACTACCTGCCTTTTATTTTGGCGTCGATGTTAGAAATCTAATCTTTCTTATCGGATGTAAATTTTCGAGTATGAGTACGTATATTTTTTATTTACATAGTTCTAGAATGAAGAAAGAATTAATATTTACTTGTAAACATTCTGTTTCTAGATCAATTGATAGTAGATAAGGAAGCTGCTTGTTTTTTTACGGTCATATCTTTATTTAAATTTTCAATTTCTGTTTTTGTTTCATCTGAAAATCGTTCATACTAACAATCGAGACAAATAAAAAGAAGAAATTATATTTGTAAAATCTTTTTACTTTTTTAATACTATCTTCTAATTTTTGTAATTGTAATTCAAGTTGATGAATAATTTCATCATTTTCATTAATTGTTGTTTTTAATGTTTCTAATTCTTCTGTATGATCAATATTACGTTTTGGATTTTCATCAAAAACCATTTGATTGTTGTTCAACGATATTTGTATACATAAAACGTGATTGTGTTAATAATAAATCATCATTTTTCTTTTTTTATGTCACCACAATTTGTGTATTCATAATTCGCATCTGTTGTATCACCTTCTTCAATTTGTTGACAAATATCTTTCGAAAGTTTATGTGTAATTAATTGAGCTGGTATCTAAATAATTATAAAAATGAAATTTTCGTTTGAGAAAAAGTGAACAATACCAAATAACTGGCTTCACGTTGTTTTTCTAACCAACAAGAAACTTGATTTTCATACATTAATAAGTCAGAGAAATTTTTCAAATCAACTTGTTCAAAAACATATGAACTCGAATCTAAATTCAAAGAAGAATAAAACGAGATAAAAAATTCGTACTTGTTGATAATTTATTTTTTCCATTAATTGGAAGAATATGAAAACGTGATTACTTGACAACAATTTGTTGGTGTAAAACCCTAATTTTACAAAAATAAAAATGTAAGATGAAGAATAAAAGATCGAAATATTCGATACTGATTTATGAGCAAATGATGCAGCTGGATGATATGTTGGAATGTTACAAAGATCAATAATAAGATCATGTGGTATCTATGTTGAATCACATAATTGACTTGTAATTTTATTTAATAAAATCCTTCAAGAGCTTTCCAAGGATCTAAAAAATATTTTTATTTTAAAAAATAAAATTTTTAATAGAACTACGTACTAAGTGTTGCTCATGCAACAGTAACTGCAACTTCTCTTGGTACTTTTTCAATAAGATAATTAAGTAATTTTCTTGTTTCATGTTCATTTATACTTAAAAATGTTTAATAACCAATATCACCTTTATAACCATAAGACTACTAAAGACAATTTTTTAGTTATTTTATTTTTGTTTTAAATTAAATATTTAACTACCTGACAAAGTTGTGCTAATTCACCACAAACTTTAAATCGTGTTGATATATTTGGTGGTAAACGTGTTGGTAATTCTTTATTACCAGTTATTAATTAAATTTGAAAAAAACAGCAAATTTTTAATAGAAAAAAAAAATTATTTTCATTTATATACAATACTTACCAACCAATATCACGTAAACTTTGTATTAAAATTCTACCAACTTCTTCCATTTCAACCAAAAAAAAAACGCAAAATTTTATTTATTTAAATACAACAAAGATAATAAGAATAGTGAGATGATAGTTACATTGAAGCGTGTAACAAAAAAAAGAAAAAAAAATATTTATTGAACAATGTAAGTATCAATTAAAATTTCGCATGATAATATCATAGAAGACATACAATCTCGACACTTTTGCAAACATACATAGTGCGAGGAACAACCTGATCAAAAGCATTTGTCATATTTCATAAATTAAATCAAATTAATCCTTTCCAGATGAAATAATACGATTGTTGACGGTTAATTTATAATACGTAAACGAACCAAATTCCAGCATAGTTTTATGACAGTTACCCGAATTGAGGAGTGATACATATATCAAAACATTTTAATCAATTTCACTTTATTGCCAATTCATTTTTGTTTTTTTGTATCTAAGAAATGATTAGTTGTAATTAATCCACGGAAATCATAGACTTTTCGATTAAAATAAATTCTTATTAATTATCTGTATTATTAAATCATCGTACAATAAGATATCGTCGGTAACTATATACATTATTCAATGCGGAAGTTAAACATGATTATTTTTTTTTTGTTATGATTTAAAAATAAAAGAAAAGAAAGAACGATTACTTATTTAATTAATAAATTATTCAATTCAATATCGCACATTGATTTAACAACAATCTTTATAGTATTGAAGGAACAAATAAGTATAAATTCTCTTCATTGACTTTGATTATCATCAATGTTTTATCTAGAGGGTTGCCCGGGGGGCGCCGCGTCCCTCGAAAATCGACTTCGCTCCCGTCGAGACTTGTGATCATCGGACTGCGAACACATGGCTAGGTCTCCCGAAAATAATTTTTCGCCCGCTCGGAATTTCAAATCGCCCCTCCGGAGAAAAAAAAACTGGATAAAAAACACTGATTATCATTATCATTCATTCTTGTTTTGTTTATTATAATTTACGATTAATAGGGATTATTCATATGTTTTATCATTGACGTATTGTTTTAAAAATCGAATAAACCAAAATCAGTTATATTGGATGAAGTTCATCATGCACGACGTGTACGAATTGATCAAGAACAATTTTAATCTTTTTTGCAGAATCATCTTTAGAAAAAATTCTTATTGTTTTCTATTATAATCCAAGGAAAATTTAATGTTCTTTTCAAAATGATATGATGAGTTTATTTTGATAAAAGACATCTAAAGATTCTCAGAACTTTCTTCTATACTATTGAAAATTACACAATAAATATTCTTCAAACATTACATTTGCATTAGTCATTATTTATTTGAATTTCTTAATAAAAAACATAAAGAGAAGTAAGCTACAAAAGTCTTCGTCTGTTCTCTGTGTATAGATTGGAAAAGTTTAATTCAAAAATAAATTTTCTTTTCTTTTGTTAACTAAAAAATTCGTTCTTCTGATGATAGTTTCAGAGAACTATAATAATGACGAGATGAAAGTTCACCATCTACGATATGTATTGAAAAGTTCTAATAGAAAAATTTTGCTGATATACTCATGCATGAGTTTGTTTTCAAGTAATGGAATTAATCTTGAAGACATTTCTCGTATTCTTTTAGGAACTTTTTCCAAAAATGCTTCGCTATTTTTCTAAATTCAACCTTTTTGTAGATTAAGATCAAACGTCGAACCATTATTTATATATCTTATTGCACATTATTTCATCATTAAAATTTTCTTTTCTACACGATTTGAAAGTCATTATCAATCGCTTCTCAAGAATTTTTATATCAAGATCATCGTCTATGTTTTAGTCGCTTCTTTCTTTCGTCTTTCTCTCAATATCTATCGTTTCATTGCATAGATATGATGTGATCTTTCTTGACAATACATACTTTTCTCAAAGTTTTTTTTTCCTTTCAATGAATTCTAAGCCTATTGTTAACGGTTTTTTTTTACAATGAAAACATCTTAGTTCAACATTGACGAGATTATACTACATATCAAATGGCTTAACCCTGTTTTCAAGTGGACAAAAAACGTCAGATTCACAATACATATGTGTGTGTGCAGTGTACCTAGATCACATCCAGATCTATACATTTCTATTATTATAACATTTAGTGAAATTTCCTTCTAACAAAAAGTCCTGAGGTCATCAAAGAACTGTCTTTTCGCAAGAATTTCAGATTTGATTTTAAATTGGTAAAATCTCGAATGTAAACGAAATAGTAAACGAATGAAATTCAACTGATTCTGCTATGAGAAAAATATATCCTTTCTTCTTCTCAATGTCATCCTTCAATTTCTTTCAAAAATGCACAGAGCATTGAATCACTATGATCGAGTTGGACGATACATCAATGTTTTATGTTTGTGAAAAAGCTGACCTATCCAATTTGCCAATGGCGTAAAAGACACCAAGCAGACTGAAAAAATAAAACGAATTAAGACTGAATTAACGAATAAATTGTCTGAAAAACGTGATATGCAAACAATGAACAATATAGATATAGCTCTGTCGTAGTGAAAAGCATCACAGTCATAATAAAATATGAACCGATCAAATGTTCATCTTCTGGATTTATCTGATGAAATATTACTTATGATTTTGAAGAAGTTGAACAATGTTGATGTACTTTATTCTTTATTGGATATTAATAATGGACGACTTAACATTCTTGCACAAGAAAATACTTTCACCAACACTCTCAAGTTTGTCTGTATTGATGATATGTGTTTAATCGATCGGTTCTGCATCGACATATTGCCAAGGATTCATCAGAATGTGAAATGTTTTATTATTGATCCAGTTTTTATGGAACGTATTCTTCTTGCTACTACCTATCCAAATCTAAATAAACTTAAAATTTTTCATTTCCAACAACAAATCGTTTTGAATTATTTTACAGGTAAATATTTAATATGAATTTGTTTAGTTCATAGATAATAATAAATATTACGTAGAATTGACTACACTATATTTCATTTCATTGATTGATTTTCTCGTTTAGATGAGTCATCACTTCAATCTATTTTCGAACAAATTACAAATCTTATTCTTGTTAACCATGATCAGAACGGAAGCATAGGTTTATTGAAAAATTATACTACAAACGTATATGCATGCATCTTGAATTTTTTCAAGAACTTAAAAAATCTAACTGTCATTCAACCATTTCGTATATTATATCCACGTTTATCACTCTGTGATTTGCCATCGGGCACTTTTTTTTCTCCAATTCTTACTTATTTGAATATCAATGTGAATACTTTTGACGATTGTCTTTATTTACTTGATGGTCGACTTAAACAATTGACAGAATTGTCTGTTGCTATCTATGATATAGACAATTCTTCAGTAATTGTTCACAATGTGGTAAGTTTTTCATAAATAATTTTATTTATGAGATAAAGATAATTACCACTTCAATCCAGTTTGGATTTATGTCAAAAGATTGAAATAAAAAGTTCAATGATTAAGTTTCATATGGACAAGAAGGAAAGATGGATAAGTGTTGATGGATAAACTAGAGTTGTCGACATTAAGTTTGCACTTATTAGAAATTTGAATTTAATAAAAGGATTAATGAAATTTGTTGGTAGATATAAAAATTATGTAATGTTTTATCAGATTAGTGTCGCATTTAAAAGGAGATTGTTCTATTTCATAACTAAATATTATGATATGTGAAGGATCATTAGTACAGAATGGAAGGAAAATTTTTCTGTAACAATTTTTCCAATAATTGAGATATGATTAGAATTTTATCAGAAAATTATCAATTGTTCTTTCAACACATCTATTACTTAATGTTCTAAAATGAGAAAAGCTGTTAGCGCAATTCCACATAACAAAACTGAAACATGAAATAGTTGTTTGTAATACCAATTGATAATATCTGTTACTGTATATGATGGGGAGAGGGAGGCGCATGTGTTGCAGCGTCTGTCATGGTCTATGACATTTCCGTGGTAATGTCGGTTCTGGTCTGTGGGGTGGTGTAATTGTTCATGCAGATACACTTCAACACTTGTTTTAGATCGTGTTTCATATAATCAAACTGATAGATTTATCATTTGTGATCATTAATAGACAGTATATAGAATAAACACCATATGTATAGAATGACGTGTATAACTTAGTGTTGTAGATTATTAAAAAAATATTTTTTTTTGTAGGATAATTTACCTAATCTGAAATGTTTCTCATTGAAATCGATATGTCGATTTCAGCAATATGATAAAATGGTATTACTTCTTCGTCGTATGTCATGTCTGGAACAATTAACTTTATATATTCATGTAAAAGGTCGAAATAGAGTGCTTGATGGTACTTATGTTCAACGTGACATTCTTGATTATATGCCACAACTTCATTCATTCACTTTCTATATTGGTACTTATGTCGATACTATTGGCTTATCCTACAAATTATCTAATGAAAATATTCGACGAACATTAACAAATATTGGACAACAACATGCAACTAGTATCGTTAATTATGTTAGTACCGACAAAGCTGCATGCTCGATTTTCTCACTTCCTTTTGCTTTTGATTATCTCGAACATCTTGGCAATGCATTTCCAAATATTGTATTCACTTATGTTACATATTTACTTGTAGAAGATGATGATCCATTCAAACATGAATTCTTCATTCGAATTGCTCGATCGTTTCCATTACTGAAATATTTACGTATTTTCAATATAGAATCACCAGTATTATGTGATCTTATGACATCTGAATCGGGCAATAGTGAGTCACATTCAATTGTTGAATATCCTCATCTTACTTCACTTGACGTAAGATATGGACAGAGATTATGTTGAACAATTTTTAAATGATACAAAGACATATGCACCTTGTCTGACCGAATTGGGAGTTGTCGATATTCACTTGAAAACTGTAACAAAGAACTTTACACGAGATGAAACACGACACAATTGTGTGAAGATCAAGCGATTATTTACTTTGGGATCATTGGATCATTCAAGAGATTTTTGTCTTTATTTTCCTTCTCTAGAAATGTAGTGTTCATATGATTTGTTCACGAAACTTAGAAACATAATAAACGGTGTGTTTTGCCTGATGATGACATTTGAATTATTGGATTCTTTGTTAATATCTATGAGTTTTGCTGCCTAAATCTTTCTGGACCATCTTTATTTTCTTTTGTATATCGCAACAATCGAACAGTTACAATGATACATCGAAGGAAAAAAAAAAGATGTTGATAAAAAGAAGAAATGCTAGAATAGAATAACGATGAGAGAATAAATCATTATGGAATACAAATGAAAAGAAAAAAAAAAAGATATACTATAGAGGGTTATAAGAGAACAGAAACAGAAGGTGTTCATAAAGTTTATTAATAATGAATAATGTTCATAAAATGATGATGATAATGCCGTAGTTGTTTATGTTTTGTCCGTACGTGATTCAATTTCAGCTTTTGCTTTATCTAAAACGAAAATATAAATTATGAATGTTGTATTTCTATGGTTTTACTTAATGTTTCATATAACGATTTTAATTGTTCGTTGTATTTTTCTTGAACAAGATACAATTCATCGATATCTTCCTTGAGAATTTGAATCATTTCTTTTTTTTTTCTATTCGTTGTGTATTCTTGTTGTTAAGTTGCACAATACATTCAATCTAAACGAAAAGAAGAGCATTTGATTGGTTTTATTATTTAATTACCTCATTTTGAATTTGTGCAATAGCTGTTGAATCCATTGGATACTTTTCAGAAAATAAACGTGTTTATTGTGTTGTGTTCGACTAGCTAAATGTGTGAATACTAGGGTTAAATATACGTGTATATATATATATATATACAAACAAATTCTGTCCGTCTAGGTCTTATATCACGTCGTGTTCAGGCTTTCTTTTTCTTTTTCTCTCACGGACCTTGATTATACTTTATCGAACTTATAACTTCGATGACGATGCTTTTTTATGCACTCATCTGATACGTGATAATAATTCATGAAAATTGTTTCGAATAAAATTTGTTTTCTTCTTTCGATGGTGATACATAATGGAGTCGCTCACATGTTATGGGGTGGGGTGTGGGTGTGGGTGTGGGTGTGTGGGTGTGGGTGGGTGTGGGTGTGTGTGGGTGTGGGTGCGGGTGTTCTCTTTCTGCACAATCACACCCACACTCATCCACACCCACACCGACACCGACACTCACACACACCCACACCCACACCCTCTTTCGATGTAACTAATTTATTTACTAATATACCATTAACATATACTATAGAATTAATTCTAGATAAATTATATAAACGTGATCATGATTGCTCACAAATTGAAGAAAATAATAATAAAAAGAAAAAACATAATATGTGTTCAAAATGTCAAGATAGAGAAGATATGAAAACACTTCTCACTATTGCTACGAGTGGAACTCATTTCACATTTAATAATCAATATTACAAACAACATAATGGTGTTGCTATGGGTTCACCCCTAGCACCCATTATAGCTGACATTTTCATGATTAATCTTGAAAATAATATAATGAAAAAATTACGTAATTCTGGTGTTCTATGGTATAGAAGATTTGTAAATGACACGATTGTCATCATAAAGAAGAAAGCTAATATAAATAAAATTAATCAGATTCTAAATAGTTTTCATAAAGATATAAAATTTACTGCTGCAAAGGAAGAAAATGAAAGTCTTCCGTTTCTTGACGTTTTAATAAAAAAGAAAGAAAAAATTTCTCAACATCAATATACAGAAAACCCACATACAGTGGTCTATTGACCAAATGGTCGTCGTTCGTTCCAAAATGTTATAAAATATCAGTTATAAGTAATCTTGTCTATAGAGCTATACGTGTTTCTTCAACATATCAATTGATGCATGAAGAATTTGAATTTATCAGGGATATTGCAAGAAAAAATGGATATCCTTATAATTTTGTAGAATGTCAAATAAGACATACTTTAAATAGATATTTACGTAAACAAAAAATGAATGAAACAGAAAATAAAAAAGATTGTCAAGATAATAATATAAAAGAAATAAAAGATAAAAATAAAAATGATAATATTATTGTTGATGTTCCATATGTTGGTAAATCAACAAGTAAATTCATAAAGGACATAAAACAACTAGCTAAACGTATTAAACCAGAAACTTCAATCTTAGCAATACAAAGACCATCACCTAAAGTTGGTCAATTCTTTAAAAATAAAGACAAAACATTAAAAAATTCACAATCTGGTGTAGTCTATCAAATAAAATGTAATTCTTGTTCTTCTTCTTATATTGGACAAACAAATAGACAACTTACACGAAGATTAAAAGAACATGGTGAAATACAAATCAATCCAACAAAACAACAACAACAAAAACAAAAATCATTACAACACCAACAACAACTACACCAACTTCGTAGATCCGATAGAATAGCATCAAAAAATCTTCCAATTATTTCTTATTATGAATCAGATACTAGTAGTGATACAATTAGTGATAATGGCATGTTTTTAATCAATAATCAAAATGAGTCAAAAAATAATTCTGCAGTTTATCGACACATGACTGAAACTAATCATCAAATGGATTGGCAAAATGTGAAATTATTATACAAAGATAAACATCCTTATAAATTATTAGTGAAAGAATCACTTGCAATATTAGAACATGTACCAACACTCAATTTAACTACTCAATCAACACCACTTATAGTGTTTCCAGATGGTCATACAAATCGGCGCAAAGAAAGAGATAAAATATAATTATAAAATTATTATATGATTGTACATTATAGGATATCTATATAATTTCTTTTTCTACTGTCATGTAATCTATTTTACCTTTATGTAGTTCATAAGATAACTCTACTTGATAATGATAATAAAGATTATCGAAACGTCGTAAATGAATGAAAATATGAAATTTTACGCTGCTGTTAAAAAAGCTCAAAATTATTTCAGATTATTGCCCATAAATCCTAGGATTTATTATAAAACTGATGGTGAAAATAAACACATGAATGAAAGAATACGTTCTATATAATTAGATATTCTATTAAGCAAAAACATTGTAATGATTACGTAATCAAAAGGTGAGAATATGACATATGGTTAAAAAATTGATGACATAATATCTGAATGTCATTTTACTCCATTCATTAAGCCTTTTTCACTTTTTTCTTGTACACATAAATTATCCGATACTTCAATTAATGTTACTATACCATTCTGTGAACCACAAGCAACAAGACGGCCATGAGGTTCTTGTACACGTAAACAATGAAGGGATTCATCAACAACTTGAATTGATAAAGTTGGTTCATTTTGCTTAAATAATATATCTCAAACATTCAATGTACCTATATAAAACCAAAGAAAAATATGTTTGTTTTTACAATGAATATTTTTTTTACTATTCATTTTAGTAGTAAATAGTATAGAAAAACGTGTTGGTGACTATTGACCATCGGTAAGTGCATGTACACTTGGTCTGATAAGCACAAAAAATAATTCCTATTTTAATCGAATAAAATCTGGTAAGGTTACTCTGTCTACATAATAGAATTGTCTCGCATTTCTTGTGACCAAATACGTACAGTCCAATTGTCAACAGATAGAAAAGTTTTCGAAAAATTCGGATGACGTTGAAGTGCATAAGCAGGACCACAATGTCCTAGAAAAACATTTGCAATTTTTTCAGCATCATTTTTCCCTTTACAATTACACAAAACAATTCGACCTTGTTCTGTTCCAACCATAAATTTCGTTGACTAGATGACAGAAAATTTCCGATCGAAATTGATAAAAAAAAACTCAATTTACAATAGTTGGTTCATATTCTAATGACATAGCATCAAGAGCATGGTCTAATTGACATTTTTTTTCAATATTTAATATTAATGTTTCAACTGGTTCTGATAACTTTTTTGTGTCCCATCAAAGAATCTAAATAGATAATTAGCAGTTTTAAAAGATTATATCAAAAATTTTCCTATTATACTTTACCATAGGGATCTACAAGATGGTACCGGTCCCGGCGGGACTAGGACCGAGACCAATATTTTCAAGCTGATCCAGTAGTTCAGTAGTTTTTTTTATCAAGAACTAGACTACGTATTTTGATATTTATTAGTTTTTTTATGATTAGCGATCTAAAAAACAGCAATTTTGTTTACAATCTCGATAAAAATTCCTTAGTGATCCTAGTTTTAATTTCAAGAATCGGAATTTTGCAATAACTTGTCTGGTTTTTTGACTATGTGAATCACAATAGAGACATAAATTTGATTCGATAACAGTTCAGTCATTCCTTTATTTATTCTCTCAATAGACAACAAATAAATACAAGTCACCGTTTGTTTTTTGTCAACGATAATGTCATTTCAAAATAAATATTCAATCAAATATTCATACAGATTTGACATAAATATTCAAAGGGTAACGTATAAAAAATAATCACTTGCTAGTAGCAAGGAAATCGGATATATGAAATGGAGATTAAAGTCAATACAAAACTTTAAACTGAGACCGGAATCGGAATCGAAAAAAAAAGTGATTTCGCAGATCCCTACTTTGCCATCAGTCGAATCAGAAAAGAATTCTGTGCCTGATTTTGATTGTAACCTTCTTGTTATAAAGCTGGATCATGATGACTATTTTCAATAAGTGATTGTTCAATAGCTGTCCTATCCTTTCATGCATCGAATCGAATATGCCTAGAAATAATATCTATTTAGTCTAATTAATTGAATTTTTCATCTTACAAACTTGACCATTATAACAACCCCCAAGAAATTGATGTGTATCTTTTGGATTACATTCAATGCAAACAAGTGGTGATATTGGTTTTAAATTAAGTTCAGGTTTTGTTGGATATTCTATTTTGAATTAATAACTCTGAGGAAAAAAAAAGTTTTTATTTATTTATCAATATCCCAGATGTATGAATCGATAATTGAATCATTTGTACCTGATTGAAATTTATTTGATATATCCTGAATTTTTTCAATTGGTGGATAAACAAGACTAACTGATAAACCATCATCATCATCAGTCACACCACCGACAACATTTGATAAAAATGGGTGACAATTAGAAAGTGTAGAAAATCGGTATCAGACATATAAATTTTCTCGATGTTACCCATGTAACCATAAAACGCATTTTAGACACGTTTAAACACGTCTCAGATTAAAACAGATTCCAAACGCACTGAAATGCATCTATAGTACTAGTGTTTAAACGCCTTACGAACTGTTGCATGTGTTCAAAAGCGTTTTTTAAATAAGACGCATCCAAACAGGTTTAGATTCGTTATGGGACGCGTTTCCAGGTGGATGATTTTGGGTTTGCATCCAGATGCGTTCATAATTTCCAATAAAGTTAAATTGAACGCGATTGAACGCTGCCTATCGACAACATGTGGTTACATGCGTTGATTCTCTACGCTTCCTGATGCTCTTGGATTCGACTTACGCGTCTAAATGCAGTTCGATTCTTTCTGTCGTATGGATAAGATGCATTTAAGCATGTTTCTAGCTATAGGTGCATGCGATACCGTCTACTGTGGAGGCTGCTTTTTATAATAGATATCAATAGACCTCGTATTGTGAGCGAGACTACGCGATTTTCATTGAAAAGGAATATGAGATTTATCTAATAAGTTACTAAGATGAAATACTAAAGCCCTATTGAATCTAACATTCTTAAAAATGGCTACTCCTGATAATCTATAATGTTAAATGTAGCCTACTAGTGTTGTATGAAATATATAAGAACACATATCTATACTCCGAAAAACTTCAGAACGTCTGTGTCCGTCTTACAAATTCATGAGCATGTAATTAGTCTGAAATAGAAACACTAAATGGGGATAGGATTGAAGTGAAGATTCTATAATGCAAACCATCTCTTCTTATCGAATTAAGAATAATTTGACGATGTTCTATTTTATTGCTTATGTAACCGTTTTTAGACTTTTTCACGTCTCTGAGCGTTTATAAGTAATTCACATGATGCTCTTGAACGCGTTCAAAAAACCATATACGTCTAAACTCGTCCATTTTGAAGGCAGATTACGATTTGCTTTCTGGTAATCGTGTGTGAGCACTTTAACTTTATTCCCTAAAAAATTATAAACTTCTGATCAATGTATGTCGCTGTAGAACTGGATTCTGACATTCATGTTTCATTGCTGTCACGAATATTTAACGAAGTTGTGCTTGCCTTGCTGTAATGAATTAACTCAGTTACATGAGATCTCTGTTATACTCGCTTTTAATTATTCATTATTTATTGAAAATATTGAACTGTTGACAAAACTACGCTTTATTCTACCATATTTCCAAAACCGTTTAATAATGCGCAAACGGTCTACTACGATCTTAAAGTTTTTTATTGCTAAGTTCATCATCTATTTTCTATATCAAAAAACAATTCCTATGAATGTTATTTTTATTTTCAACTATTTGATTTTATCTAAACTTCAGCAAAGGTAATTTTTCAAATGGGAATGTTAGTTTATATTTATTCTTCTCCATAATAAACAATGGGTGTAGATAAAACTTGTACATTTTATGAGATTAAGATAAATAGAAAAAAAGAAAATCTTTATTATTTTAAAAAATAAAGGTAAGTAATTTTTTGAGTTATAAAAAGAAACATAAATGAATACTTGATTTGTAAAAAAATCACGGAAATCAAATAATAATTTTTCTCTATGAAGACCTAATCTTCTATTTTCTTCAAGTATCTAAAAAAATTGTAATGCCATAGTTACAAATTTGCAGATGCAGATAAGATTTTTCCATATGTTTTCATACAGCGTTCTCAACTTTAAATAACATTGCATATTCTGTTATCAACGAAGAGAAAAAAAATTATTTAAGTTTGTTATACAACGAATTTTTTGTTTATTTATCAAAGAGAGATCTCTATTTATTCTTTAATTTTTTTCTCATCTTGTACATAATGAAATTTTTATTTTTTTTATTTGTTGTTTGTAAATATAAGAAATGCATTTATTTTAATTTTATGAATGCATCTTATTAATATTCATATACGAAGTGAAAATAATCGACATCACTATTCTGAGAACTATCAGAAATTCAAAAATAATTAGTCATTCGGTTTATGAGCATATAAATAATTTCGAGCTGTGTATAGCTCAGAGCTACTGGCGCTCGGCTTGTAATCGATGGTTGTGTGTTCAAATCTTGGTTCAAACTATCATTGGAAAAATTCCCACTCTGTTGCTCACGGTATTTGAGTGTTATATCATAGTTCGCTATGGTGCATCGGTTCGAATCCGACACAGAGTGATAGTTATTTTTTAAAATTTTTTGAGAATAAAGTAAACGCATCAAGTGCTCTTGCGTCAAACGCTCAGAAACGCGTTGGAAACTTAAAAATTGTTACATGGATAATTTGAAGTATTTTAAGATTTGATGAAACAAAGAAATGATCGTTTTACGGAAAAAGAGTTATATGATACAGCATCAAAGCGAATTTCACCATCATTTCAACGAGATAATTTTTTATGATAATATTTTTTTTTATTTCAATGCAAGAAATAAAAGATTTGTAGTTATTTGATTAAAAGATTTATTAATTAAAATTTACGATGTGCAGAATATCGTCAAGTTCATCTTTTAGCAAAGTAGAATTTTCAATCAGATCATCAGAGAGAAGACATCAAGATTGCTGATTGGTTTCAAAGCAGCAAAAAGTTACATAGATGTTTTTAGTGATGTACTTCGAGACAGATTTTTATTGGAAAATAATGGATTTCATAAACGCCTTTGATTCGTCTAGTTATTCGTTTCTATTGACATCTGCTACAACCTCGATGAATATTTAGATTCTGTATATTCGTTTATCCAGCGACACAACAGAGAACACAAGGGAAAAAAATAATAACGTCCACTTTCTCTTTCTTAAAGGATGGTTAATGACTTGGATATCGATGTATATAGGCGGACAGTGGTGTATCCACAATATTTTTCTCTTGTGTTCTCGGTTGTATA